TCTAAGTAATTTTCAATATGTGTGATTTCATCCTAATTGATAATCAAATGGGTTTACAATCAATGTATAAACGAGTGTATTTTCGTCTAGGATCGTCTTTTTAAAGGGTAATACTTATGTCCATTGCAGAAAGTGAACTTAATGCTAAATAAAAATGTGTTTATTGAAGTCAATGTTCTTTTTCTAGACAATATTAACAAATACCTTAATAATAACCATTGAATTAAACCGGAAACACGGTTGACTCAGCATGTTAAATTATTCAAATATACACTAGAATTGATTTCGATAAACGTTTGGACGCTTGAAATAAATTATCCGAATAAATCACATAAAAATACTAAACCTTGATGATAATACTATCTCGGTATTGGTTGTAGAAGCTTCCATCACCTTAACATTACAAATCTATTATTGTCACTTTTTTTGTTACATTGTAGAAATTAGTTTAGTGTGAGTATGCATGATGATAATACCATATCACAAATGAATTGAAGTCAATAATTTCAGCTTGATAGTCTTAAAGCAACACAATTTCTGAGAGATTATAATACCATCGGTTCTATCTGTGGTGAAGTGGTGATTAAATACCGCTTAGATTATTGAAACTAGCACAAACTAGCAGCTTAGTGATTTTTAGATTTCAGTTGTTCCTCAGTTGATAATATTCTATGACTCAATAACTTATCTTCATCTTTTATATTTGCTGCAAACAGGACAGTACATCTGACTAGCCTTATGGACAAAATTAGTAATTTTAAGCAATCCTCATTTCTACTTGATTCTATTTTATTTACTGACTTATGAAACCCCCCGCCCAGGATGTAAATTGTTGTTTCTTTTAAATAAAATACATTTTAATTGACAAATCAAAATACAGAAATGGATTTATCATAAAACGATGTTGACAAATACCATTGTCTTAGTACTATTTACTTCTAAGAAACTGATTTGTATACAAAGTTCAGTTCATTCGTATTCGACTTATATCATATGAGACCATAAAGAAAGGCTCAAATTCATAGTTAAAGTGTATATCACAGAATAAACATAAAGCTAAGGAATTATTAGTATTAATGAGTAATTTGGGGGAAAAATAACTGGAAAATATTAACCAGAAAAATACATTCTGAAAACTACTTTAAAACAATACGCTTGTATCTGTGTTTTATTAATGTAGGACATTATATTAATAATTATGAAATATCATGGAATTTTATCGTAACGTAATTTTTTCTCTCAATATCAAACAGGTATAGTTTGCAGGACCAGGCTCAAATGAACAAACTGTTGATAGTATTTTATGATTTGGATATTTTTATCGAACAATAAACTTTGTAATTCACTAGGTATTGTTTTACTTGAATCTTCCCATTGATGTTTAAGACTGTGATTGATCAGTCTCTTATTAGTATATGTGCATAAGTGAATTAAACTTCACCTCATTGCACAAGAAATTGGCTATCAGGATTCAGTAGCTAAGTGGATAATGCGTTGGTGTTTGAAGCGAACGGTATTAGATTCAAGTCCCTGAGTGAACATCGAATCTGAGATGCAGGTACATCCAGCTGATGAGTCTCAAATAGGACGAAACGTGCGTTCTGAATTCCACTACTAGCCACTATCCATCTTTGCTAATAAACTTTGTAGCTATAACCACATATAACAGGATTCATTGTTAATAACAAAAAGATTTCATATCCAAAACATCTTGTATTCTGATTGTAATATTGTTGTAATTTAGGATTAGTTGCAAGTATTTCTTTTTATTAAATGTGTTTATTATTGGCAGATGATTTTATTTGAATCATAACAGAGCAAAACTTCATAATGTTTCAACGTATATTATGATCGGTGTTTTATCTAACTTTTGAACTTCAATCACCGAAATTATTTTATCATTTCAATGTTCCTAAAATACCGTTTGTGATAAGCATCTCTTGTGGTGTGTGCTACTTATATTGACATAAGCAGTATATGATGTTAGTCGTGAACAGAATGTCTGGCAACAGAGAGACAAGAGGATCGAATAGTTAAGAATGGAACAGGATGCAATTTGTATGAACATGCAAGAACAATAAAGTCTGGGTCATTTTGAGATAATTGGTGGGCATTTTGCAAATTAAGCATTTACTTTATGATTGTTAGATTTTACTAAAAAGTCCTGTAATTTTGTGTTAAATGCATTCGATTGTTCCCCACTGGTGTTCGTGTTCACTACACTCTTTTTTAAGAAATACGGGATCACTGATGAACAGTATTGAGATGTCTAAAAATAATATGGTATGAATTTCATGTAATATCAAATCTACAGTGGTTTTTGATATATAACAAACAGATTTTGAAAAGAAATCTTGTTTTGAGATTTTTCACCTACCTTTTAGTTGACTAAAGATGATATAAAATGAAAGTAAGCGGTCATTTTCATCATTTTAAAATAAAAGCTGATACAACCTGATACTGAGGGTGTTAGAAAATTAAACCTATGAGCATATGGAATGTTTGGTTAGAGATACTCAAAGGTCATAAATAGACTTATATTTACAAATAATGTACTATTTTCAGAATGGGGATTTGTGGAAATTGTAGCACTTCCAACATTTGAATTCATGAGGTAATTAAAACTAGACCACTATGAAAAACCTGGAAGCGCTAGACGTCCGTTTCGTCCTAGTATGGAACTCTTTAGCGGTTCGCATCCACGATTATATTACAATCTGTTGAAAAACAGTTTTGATTATCAAGAAATCGCTGGGAAAAGGTGAACAAACTAAATGTTTATGTTAATATCACCTTGAAAACATCTAAATGACTTGAAATTTATTTCACATTTATCCCAAAGAAAACAAATAAACACTGATGATGCTGAATACATTTTTCAAACTCTCTGTAAAAAAAAGAGAGATTTATCAAACTTTCTAATAAGGCATAAATTAATTTCTTATCAAACATAATGTGGCAATAAACATTCATAAACTGACAGTTCTTGGTAGATTTATTGTTATCAAAACTCATTAGAGATGTTTTTTCTGTAAATCATACTATAAAACACTGTTATAATCTGTACTATTCATTAGTAAAAAGTGTTTATTTTACATTGTAAAAAAGTTTTGCCTTTATCATTACTATGTTGTATGAAATTCTGTTTTATTAGTAGTTATTATGAAAGTATCTCAGTTTTTATATAAATTAATATCTTTGTAATGTAATTAGATTTTCTGACGTTTCGTGACTCAATTTAGGTCGCTTCTTCAAAGAATAGATAACCAAATCAAAACTCATGTTTAAATAGTTAAAAGAACTAACACAAGAATGTTATGTGCGATCGATTCTCTAAAGAAGTGGCTTACACTGAGTCATAAAACGTCAGAAAATATCATTTTTCTACCCATCGGGATATCATAAATTTATTAAATTATTTATATCAATCTACCCAATGCTCAAATGAAACCTTGGTAATGATACCTATCTTAGTTTTTATTAGGTTGATTTAAATTTGACTAGGAAACTATTCTTTTTATCTTCTTTCTTTATTTGAGATTACTACAATTTATCCGTTCAATCTATGTAAATAGAGATACTTAGTAACATAAAGAAACCTTCAGTTAATATCAAACTTCTGGCTGGACAAAATGATCTAAAACAAATTTATCTCTTAATTATTAAATTCATGAATTTATTGTTTTCATCAGTATACCCCACTATTTATTTGATTGACATTATAAGTTCTAAGATCACGGAACAAAAAGAGCATTTCGATTTTCAGTCTTATTGTTTTTTGTTGTTGTTGTTGTTGTGCTTTCTTCAGAAACAGTTTGTAAAGTTTGAGAAACCATATTTCGGTGTAACTAATCAGATGATATTTAAACCTGAATATCATTGATTATGGTACTCTCAGATAAGTGAGAAAATACTTGTATCAATCGATATTTATCTAATTTAACTCTTTATAAAAATATTAGAAAACGTAATTGAATATTTTGAGATTACTTCTCAGAAAGATAGAAATCTGACCCAACGCACTGACGATTATTATTACGAATGAGCTAAGTGATATTTAAAACTGACTCTGATAGAAAATAAATAGTTATCTAGTTACTTCATACTCGTATAAAAGTTCACAGATATATTTGTAACATATGCTTGACAACGTATTCATAAAAACCAGATATATTTGCTACTCTATAGTTCTGTGTTATATACTGAATGGAAACAAATAATGCTTGACGCTTTTGCAGAGATCTAAGATTATTTATGGGACTACTGTACTATTACTCGTTTGATAACATTAAATTTATTCAGTTTCAAAAACGAATACAGAATGATTAAGCCTCAGACTGGATAAGTCATTTATTAATTGATCGAGAAAATTTATGTAGCTTGAATACTTAAGTTTCGTCAATGAATTAATTATAGCGATTTAGTCATTCATTATGTTTATGAAAGTAAAAATGAAGTTGTTATTTCTCACATATGGAATCATCGATAGCTTATTCTAGATTCTTTTAAGAAGTTAGATTGAGATTTTTGTAAAAATGAAATATTTTGCTGGATGATGATAATAAATGTCATTTTATTCAGAACTGAATTCATGAAGACATCAGATAATTCACTATCTGCTTCCCACTTTGTAGTTTGTCTTTAACGAATATGGATTTATTAATGTATGACAAATATCACATTTTTTTGATGCATCTCATTTTGTTTATTCAGTAGGTTTTGTTTTCTATATGTGAAATATGGCTAGGCTAATAGGTATATTTCTTTTTCAGAGCAGAATGTTTTAATGAAGTAACAATCTGATACCAATGTATATCTGAATGTACGAAACAGCAAGTTATCTGTAGTTTTTTAATCTTTACCTTGTACAAACCGAATATTCAGTAAATCTGTTTAGAAAGTTATAAAAATAGAATTAAGATTCCGATATTTTGTTCCATTTTACAAGATTAGAAAAAGGTTTACCATATTTATTCTTTTTTTTAATTTATTTTTATCAGTAAATCAAATGAAGAATGAACCTATTCATCATTGGAGAAACCAAACTGTCTGTCCAAACTCATCCATAAAAAGTTATAATATAGCTTCATCGGGACATGGTCAATTATTGAGTAGTATAAATGAAAATTCTCTAAGCATAAATCATAATGCAGAATTATTATTATCAAAATCAACTATAAGCAATAAAAATAATAATAATAATAGTCATGATAATAATTATGATGCCAATTTTGTTAGTATACAGAACTCATTAAATAACTCGATTATTTCACCGGATGAATCTAGTTCACCAAGAAGTATTTACCAATTTATTACATCATCATCATCAGCAGCAGCAGCAACTCACGTGACACAAACAACACCAACAGTAGCAAAAACAATCACAACTGACTACAAGCAATATGGATGTAATACCCGAGAAATAAATTACAAACTTAATCAGCTGGTATGTTGTTATTGTGCTTTTTCTTTATATTATCACTTATGTCTTTTTGTTATGTACAAACAGTAGTTAGTTGTTTTTTTATTATCTGTTGTCATTACCAGTCAATTTATTAACAAATTATTATGAATATTACAAAAGTTGCGAGGGAAATTATTAACTAATTCAATATTCATGAAGTTCGTAGTATTTATGAAGGAGAAGAATAGATATGAGTAAAATAACTGCGTATATCACTTCACGTATAATTGTAATTTTACTAATGCTTATTACAATAGGTATCAAATATGACTGTTATAAATAGTTAACGGTATTTGTATATAGAATCGATTGATCACCAGGCATTATATATCAGATCCCTCTTAATGTAGATCGAATTCTATCGATCAAGTTGCAATGTGACCACTAGTCTAGATGACTCAATAATCGTTTGCACTATGATAGAAAACCTTGTTGATTGCTTACAACTACGATTTTACGTCGCAACATGATGTAACACAGTGACTAAATTTGATAATATGATAATCCTGGTTAAATTTAAAGTGTATCTTCTACATCTTTAATGTAATGCTAATAATAATAATCCCAAAACATTGTATTGAATTAAGCAATTTCCTTTAGTCTTAAATCACAAAGTTATGAAGCCATTTAACCATTTTTCTAAGTTACAAATGAGTTTCACTTTGGATAGAATAAACACCCATGTTATAGATTAAGTTATTTGAGGATTGAGAAAAGTTTTAACGATGCCGTTTGCTTATTTAACTATGACTTAAAAAAGAACCAAACCACAGTTTAAGTAAACCATTAATTTTCAAGGATAATAAATGAATTATTGAACATTCACAAGGATTAAGCTAATCAATATCTTATTCTGTGGTTTCAGAAACTCTTTCCCATTGAATATTAGACCAACTTGTATTCAGTATAAATACTACATTTATCATAATTTCATTAAAGATATCCTGATAAACAACAGCCAAAAGGAATAAAAACTAAGTGCATAGCATCAACAGGTTCTGTAGTTAATGTATTAGATTCACAACGCAAACTTGTAATTTACATAAACGTATATAGAATTATTTAAGACTAATACATGGATTACATAATCATAAAGCGAAAACTGGACTCAGTTATGTACGAATAATAATGGTTAGTAAAAAGACAAATGGAAACGCGTATTCAGTTCCTCTCAAGTTCTAAAAACTGCGTATGTTATATATATATATACATCATTGGCTCATTAAGCTTTTCCCCTCACAGCTTACAACAGTGACAGACATATCAATATATAAGTATTATTTATTGCTATCATGAAAACCCAGGAAACTGATTTGACTAGTAGCAGAGTGACGTTCATTTATGCAAATACAGTTGTCGAAATAAAGCCCTTAATGAATGAATATCAAAGAACCAATCAACCAGTCAGAAAAGAGTTCAGACAGAACACCTAACGGTGACATCAATCACTACTGAATACTATTTTTTATATAAATGATTTTAGAAAATTAACTTCACAGGTCAGTAAAATGAAGATATAACTGTCTATAAGTTTGATAACCAATGTACTTTGAAAACCTTCGACAAATACAATAAAAAGTGACTCGAATAAAAGGTAATGAATTGAACGGTCGATTTCGTTTACTTCTTTATCAGGCTCTGCAATTATGAATCCGAAAACTATTATTATTGTGTTACAATAAAGAAAGTATTAAAGTTGAAATTTCACAGGTTGAAATCATGAGTCAGTTGAAGCTAGACCTGGAAGCACTGGACGGCCGTTTCGTCCTGGTATGGGACTCCTCAGCAGTGCGCATCCACGATCCCGCACCACTCGGGGCTCGAACCCAGGACCTACTGGCTTCGCGCGCGAGCACTTAACTACTAGACCACTGAGCCGGCATCCAGTGCTTCCAGGTTTTCAATGGTGGTCTAGCTTCAACTGACTCATGATTTTAACCTGTGAAATTTCTAAAACTCTCCACAAAACCCATTCTGATATTAAAGTTGAATTAATCCATGTTACAAATTGAATATGGTAACCTTTACATCGATTGAGTCATTAATACCACAATTCACTAACAAAGTCAAATAAAGTCATTGGTTATATAAAAACATTGTGTTTGGAAACAAGTTAATTCATGATAGTAAATGTTTTGGTGTAGTTGATATAGAAGTATCAACAATAGTAATAATGGTAATAGCCATATTAAAGATAATTGTTAATAAAAACATCATGTAGAACACAAAAGATGAATGTATGTGGGATCAGAAATGTGTCTTAGAAGGGAGTGTAAACCACTATGAAGAAATAAGAGGCACAACTGGAACTACGAATGAAACGATCCTAATGCGAGTCAAGATGAACAGAGGGATTGTGTGAATATTTTTATATACACAAGTTACGTTTATTAGAATTGACACCAACTCCTTCAGCTACATATAATAAGTGTAGTTCTGAGCCTTTTGGTAAATTACTGGGGAATTAATGTAAAACTGAGAAGAAATCCCCAACTTTGATGTTATGTCTATGGTCGATTAAGTTAGGAAAAATAACGTTGTTAATAGGTTAAATAACGCTTCTTTCTAATTGTAGGGCGTGACGAAAACGTTGTCGAAAAAGATCATTTGTTCTAATATTCTTTGTTCTTAAATATTCTACTCTGATTTTTAACCTGATTCAAATAAACTTATGGGACTAGATATGTTTTATGTTCATCCATTTGTGTGTTCGTGTCTAACCTAAATGTGCTCGTTTATTAGAAGCTTGGAATACTTTTGAAGATAATCTTCAATAGCCAGTGATTGAAAAAAAAGAACCAAAATCTAATCTATTCGTTGAAACCAGAAATTGAAAGTAATGTGCTTTGAATGTGTCGTCCATTTTTTTAATACAATAAACTATACGCAATATTGGTGTTTCTGTTAGTAAATTACTTAGTTTTGAGTAAAGCTATAGGTTTCAAAATATTTTTGCCACATCACCTATGTATTCGTAAATCATGAAATTAAAAATCATTTTTTTCTGACTTGTTCTTGTTCATTCAATTTACAATCACATCAATCACTCTTTATATTAACATTAGAATTGATAAGCTTGTTCATATTACCTTCAACAGAATAATCTCTATCTACAAGAATATGATCCGGTGACCTATACAGACAAAAGTCTCATTTTATACTATATTAAATCTAATAATAATAATAATAATAATAATAATAATAATAATAATAATAATAGTAATACATGTCATAGTGTATCAAATTTTTCCTCTCATATTTATTACTTTTGTAAAATACAAATCATTATTCAAGAGAATCAAAACAAAAAAACAAACGAAAAGAGAAGAAAAGAAATAAAAAATAAAAAAAGAAAGAACTAAAGAGAAAAGAAAGAAAAAAGAGAAAAAATTCCCACAATTCATTTTATGAATTTATTTGTCATTTTTCAATTTTTTTTTAATTTATCATATTTCACATATCAATTTAGATTATTAAAAAGAATCATATAAGCATAAATCAAAAAGAAAAATATGAAATAAAGATTATTTATTAAGTAGAATGTGTTAGTTAATTATTATTAAGATGTAACATATGCTTACATTGTATCTTTCGAAATGAAGTCATAAAAGTAATTGTAACATTATTTTTTTCATTTGAATTGATTGGTATCTTATAAAAACTTTTGTACAATTCATAATTTCAATAGTTGAAATCATGAGTCAATTGAAGCTAGAACACCATGGAAAACATAGATACACTCGACGGCCGTTTTGTCCCAGTATGGGACTCCTCAACAGTGCGCATCCACGATTCTGCCCCCTCCCAGCGAAATTCGAACCAAGGACATATCAGTCTCTCACTCGAGCGCTTAACAATCAGACCACTGAGCCGGCATCTAACGGTGTTAATTTCTAACTACAACCAATGCACGAAATTGCATCACTGTACACCATTGTCTTCAGTGGGTTAATATCTCACAACAGACTTGATTGAACTCAACTCATGATTTCAACTATTGAAATTACTAAAATCTCCACAAAACCCCCTCTGATAATTTATAATTATAATTCAATGCGTGTATTGCTTGTGGATTAAGGCAGTATGCACAGTATGCATATATGCCAATAACAGACTGATCAACGGTAGTTCTAAACATTAATGGAAATATTCCAGTAAACAATATCAAGTGAATTTAAATGGGAGGAGTCCCATACTAGGACGAAATGGCCGTCCAGTGCTTTTTTGTTTTAATTAGACAAGTGATAACTTTCTGGTTACTTTGAAATACTAATTTAATATAAAGTATGAAAGCATACTTTGCAACCAGATGGTTAAAATGGACTTTTTCATAAGTTTACTTTATAAAACTCTTTGATTTACTATTACGTACCTACAAAAATGGCTTTAACTATCTACAATACATCCGAAATGAATCATTATAGATAAATGTTATCTATTTTCAATGTCAATACATTTTCATTTGAATATTAAACTTTAGTTTATACAACTTAATGTATAATTATTCTTAGAAAAGAAAAAAATTGTTTTGAGAAGGTTTATTTTGTTATTCATTTACATTTATTCAATTAGAGTTAAATCACGTAAATTGTCTACGTGATTATTCAAAGTAATTTTCTCTTTATTATTTATTATATTTAAAGACAATTTTATCAGTATTATTTACATAAATAATTTCCATTTAGAAAAAAGAGTTTATATTATTATCAGAACTAGAGATTTATCTATCTATCTATCTATCTATCTATCTATCTATCTATCTATCTATCTATCTATCTATCTATCTATCTATCTATCTATCTATCTATCTATCTATCTATCTATCTATCTATCTATCTATCTATCTATCTATCTATCTATCTATCTATCTATCTATCTATCTATCTATCTATCTATCTATCTATCTATCTATCTATCTATCTATCTATCTATCTATCTATCTATCTATCTATCTATCTATCTATCTATCTATCTATCTATCTATCTATCTATCTATCTATCTATCTATCTATCTATCTATCTATCTATCTATCTATCTATCTATCTATCTATCTATCTATCTATCTATCTATCTATCTATCTATCTATCTATCTATTTACATATATATATAATTGTAATTGGAAAACAATTGTTTAATCAAATAGATAATAATAGTTTTTCAGTGGGTATGTAATTTTCATAAATAACAAACATGAAAAACTGTAAACAATTAATTAAATAATTAATTACGCCTGTTACTCCTAATGAAGCATAGGCTGCGGACCAGCATTCTCCAACACACTATGTACTGGGCCTTCCTTTCTAGTTCTATCCAATTCTTCTTCATTTTTCTCATGTCTGTCTCCATTTCCCGGTGTAATGTGTTCTTTGGTCTTCCTCTTTTTCTTTTGGCCTTCAGGATTCCATGTGAGGGCTTGCCTTGTGATGCAGTTGGGTGCTTTCCTCAATGTGTGTTCTATCCACTTCCAGCACTTCTTCCTGATTTCTTCCTCTACTGGGATCTGGATTGTTCTCTCTAACAGTAGGTTGTTGCTAATAGTGTCCGGCTAACGGATCCGAAGTATTTTGAGTATACAACTGTTACTAAACACCTGTATCTTCTGGATGATGGCTTTCGTAGTTCTCCAGGTTTCCGCCCCATACAGTAGAACTGTCTTGACATTTGTATTGAGAATCCTGACCTTGGTGTTGGTTGACAACTGCTTTGAGTTCCAGATGTTCTTCAGTGTAAACAATTAATATCTGTCAATACTAGCTAAAATCTAAGATTAACAATTTAATATTCAAAATATTAGTTTGATATTTTAATGAAAATTTATAAAAGCTATAAAATAATATGGAAAGTGTTCAAAATTTTATCAACGCTTATCTATTTTGGTTAGGAAAACAATCTAACCAAATACGTAATCTGTTTAACTTCTCTTAAGGTCTTACAACCTCAAATGAAAAGTGGCTTTAAACATCTTCACTCAACAGACTCATTGGAGTAATAGGCATTAGAATTTTCCAACTAAATTTATGAGCATGAAAATCGTTAATTTAATCTTTTTTCCTCTTGTGTTCACCTAATAATTAAGAGGTAGTTTCCACCACTAGTTATTATTATTATTAGGAACAGCTTTTAGACCTGAAATCCTCATATTTCATTGTACAAACGGTCGTCACTGAACAATGCTAAGGACTCCCTAAATAAGAAGAAATTGCTATATGATTCTTTCTAGTATTCGTGGTTCTTCAGGTAATGTCAGTTAATGGTAAAACCTATATATATACCTTGTCCTAAACGTCCATGAAGAATATCTAAATCATAGTTATCCTTGTTGGGGATTTTGGATCCCCAGAAATCACTTGGTAAACGTCTCATCATCGTAATTTCACTTCGGACATTTGAATTTCTCATTTTCACTCCAAGAGCTCCCATTTTCACCTTCAGTTTGTATTTCCCACTTGGAAGGAACTTAAATGTCATTCGTTCGTTTCCTTTTTTAGTACGTTATTTTGTGACGTTTTCGAAGGACATTTTTGTACTGTATATATACACATGAGTTGTGCGCTTGTTCATTCGTGATTCCGGGCTGTTTATGGAATATACATTTCCCTCGGCCGTATCTGATATTTTCTCTTTAAACAGTAGGGCTGAGGCTCAGTGGAATCGTTTAGCTTCTTCTGTTTTTGTGTTGCTGACTTTCTTTTCATTCATCGGTTTTAGGTGATATCGTAATCTTTTCAAACGTATCAATCCACTATGTTTATTGATGAATTTTTACAAACTTAAATGTGAAACTCTGTTGATAATTGATTTTAAATTTCCATTGACATTAGAAATAGAGAAATCATGATACTCTTGATAGAAATTCCGGTTTATATTCAAATTTATTTCCTTATAACAATCCAGTGAGTTCATTGAATCAACCAAAAATGTTTTTAGACCCATAGTTCATTAAAAATATTATCCTACGGATCAAAAGTAAAGCATGTAGGTATAAATTTTAACTATTACTCTCAAAATTATATGAGCCCAATACGCTTCTCGTTGTTTGGAAATGTGAGAATTTCGCCAAAAGACAGGCTTCCACTCGAGAACAACTGTACTTTCTCCACTAGTGTCTTCGCCAGCATGTTCTAGCAACAAGTGTAAGTTACACACCTCCACTCAACTGCCCATTGGGATGGAGGATAGCTGAGAAAAGTGGGAAAAAAATGTTACATCTAATGATAACGGATGCACATTACAGGATCCGAAAATACCGATACATCATAGAGGACCAAAAAATAAAGCTACAAAGGGCACTCACTTCAGAAAATTTGGAAATCTTGACAACAGCCATCGAGATATCATGCAAACGACGCAGAGAACAAAGAAGAATCATAAACTACTACTTTATATAATGCAAGTGAATAAATATACAATTCTAATTGTCTAAACAAGGGAAAAATGATCATAGATAAAATAATAAATCTAAACAAGCAAATAACGTCATCTCAAAGATTTACTACTTAAATGGTTGATTACTGATATCTGTGAGCACGATACCAATTTATTAAGGTTTATCTATGTAGATTTTGCCGAATAAACCTCAGTTTCATGATATAACATACGATGTCTTTAATTGTTAGTCAACTACAAACAATCGTTAAGTAGATGAACTCAGGTTATTTTCTGTTTTTAATATTGAGGTGACCAAGATTGATATTAAACATTTATCCTTCAGTAGAATCAAAACTCTAAGGATTAATTAGAGAAGCATGTTGACTACTTTTTATTGCTCGTTCATAAAATCCAGTATTTTCATCTCTAATTTAATCAAAACAAAATATTTGTCTTAACATTTTAACCTGGTTTCGACATTTTATATGATTTACCACCTTTATACAAGTTATAGATAACAGTTAGAATGATAAATTACGTATAGTTTTCATCTGAAAGTCTATGTTTTTCTGAGTATTATCTCATATTAATACCTAAATAGTGTAAGCTTTAACCACTGAGGAAAGTTTCTTATTTATTTATAACAGATCTACAATATAAAACAGTAATACTACATATCTTACTCGTATTGTGGTGCGTGCTACTTACATTGATATAAGTAGTATATTATGCGAGTCAGGAATGTAATTTCTAGCAGCAGAAGATGAGGGAAGATCAAGAAAGCAATAGCGGGGATAGAATGCAATCTGTATGAAAATGTAATAACAATGAGGCATTTTGAGACAATTGATGGACATTTTGCAAATTAACGATTTAATATATAGTTCTCAGATTTTATTGAGATTCTCTGTAATTTTGTGCCAAATACATTCGATTGTCTCCACCCGTGTTCTGTTCACTGCAGTGTTATACTGTAATAAACCTAAATACAAAATGAATAAATATTATGATATTTGATCATAATTTAAATGGAAAATTTAAATGCAACAATCGAAGCATCAACGGATAAATACATCATAAATGTATATCATTAAAATCATTCATTCCTACATACCGTATGAAATCAGAATGTGTAGATTTAAACGATTTCATATTTTAAAATAAACAGTCAATTGATCATTTTACAACATAAGATTATGACTAAAACATATTAGTTACAGTTTGTTTATTTCTGTAATTACTTATTAGAGTTTTCAGTAATATATTTTGAAAAATTTTCTTCTTTAATAAATTTAAAATCTTATTATGTTTTCTATTGATAGAATTCTGTAGAAAATAGAAATGATCATGATAGAGCTAATGTACCAATGATGTTTCAAAAAGCAAATGAACATAATAACTCTATGAATAAATTTGGTAAGTTGCATTAAATTAATACTGTATTGAGTTGTATTGAGTTATATATCATACTGTTTATCTTCAAATGATTCCATGTTATATGTGAATAAATAATAATGAATTAAGATAGTTGAAATCATGAGTCAATTGAAGCTAGACCACCGTGGAAAACATGGGACTCCTCAGCAGTGCGCATTCACGATCCCACCTCTCCCCGCGAAATTTGAACCCAGGATATATCAGTCTAGCACGCGAGCGCTTAACAATTAGACCACTGAGCCGGCATCTAACGGTGTTAATTGCTAACTTCAACCAATGCACGAAATTGCATCACTGTACACCATTGTCTTCAGTGAGTTGATATCTCACAACAGACCTGATTGAACTCCATTGGTAACGGCTTCTCACTAGAACTCCAGGAATTGCCTAATGAAGTCAGTCATTAGTAAGCAGATGATTATTATCAGAAGGGGTTTTGTGTAGCTTCAATCGACTCATGATTTCAACTATTGAAATTACTAAAATCTCCACAAAACCCCTTCTGATTATAATGAATTAGTCATTCAAAATTAATTTGTATTACAATTTAATATTAATTAAATAATCGTTGAGATTAAAGTATTATTAAATAACTATTTCTTTCTAGTATGAAACTCTAAGACAATGAAACATATGCAAATCCTTTCTCATGCTTTCGAATCCAGTACTGATAAGTCTGTAAACGATTGCGTCACTATTGAATCGATTTTATAGTCGATGCATTTTCATTATAGTTTGATAATCGTTCGGAGTCATCAATGACTTATCGCTACACTCCTGATTTGGTTGTATTTATAGTTGGCACCTAGACAGTAAAACGTTTTGGGATTCATTCACAGACTGTTTATTGGTATTTAGATGATTATTATTTATTTTATTATTAAAATACTGATATAACTTGATATTTTATGGGCTTATTTAATCCTTTAAGTTAACACTAATATAGATATCTACTGAAATTTCTTAACAATATTAAAAACATTCATTATGACATTTAAATTCGATTAGTTTAGCTAACACAGTACTCTGTCAACGTATTTATTAAAAGACTCCTCAGTACCAAAACATATGCCAAAGTCAACGTATCGCTCAAATAAACTTATTCAGAAGCCTTCAATCATAATGGGTTTCATTGGAATTTTCCATCCTAATAAATACTTAATTGGAACTGGAACAAGACACCTCTCAATCGAATGATCTAGCGTTTTTCTCGTTCAAGACATATTCAACCTACTTTCAACCACTTCATTATTAATAGTTACATCTCGCTTAATGTTTTAGGTTTAACCAGTTACATCTTACGGACAAAATAACTCTTCCATTCTTTAGTGCACACTATTCTTGGTAAACAGTATGTGTATGCTTGACAAACAAATGATATATATATATATGACAAATTGATTATAACGATATATCATGATAAAATCATCCTTGATACAGAAAAAGATCAAAACACTGTTGCCCAGACATGAATCAATTTAATGCGATCCACCAAAGTATATGATAACAACTAATCTTGACTATTTCTCATTATTCTGTTTATCAATGATTATGACACATCAATTTGATTAATTTATTAAGATGTTATTCCTATGTAATTTTGTAAGTCTCTATATCCATGTTTTCATAATCATTTTTTTTGGTTACCAATGTTACTACGATATACTATGCAGTATTACCTACTTATTTATTTAATAGCCTGATTAATTATGTACACTTATACACAAATGCACATACATATCCAATATTATAATCATGTATATACATAAGTATGTACAATATTTTCAGGATGAGATACATTTGTTTTATCATTATCTTAATCAGTACAATTCTTATAGTGTACAAAGAAAATGGTTCGAAAGTGAAAAGGCAATAACAAAAACTAAGGATATTGTCTTTTTTCTCAAAAGACAAAAATGAATTTCTTATTTCTCCTCAAGGGAAGATAAACATTTTTACTAGATATTTTGTGAAATTCATTTCATTCATTATATAAATGTTAGTAAACAAGGTGTTAAGTTATTTATAACAGACCCAAAATGATTATTCAATATTTTGTTATTCATGAGTTTTTCAATCAAATAACCAATGACGTTTTATATCATATCTATTGAACTGTAAACTATCTTATAAATTTTCTGTGAGTACACTTCATGGTCCAATACGTTTTTTCAATTCAATCACAACATTTATCCTCACTCATTTGTTGATAATCAAATAATCCACATGTTTACCTGAGGGATATAACTTGAAACTTATTTCTAGCATGCCATTTCTTTATTTGAATCTTTAAGTTCAATATATCAACATCTTTTCACATTGTCTGCTGACTCTAAGCTCAAGTTTTATAAAACTGAAGAGGTTATATTTGGTCATTCAAATAAAACAACCAATTTTAAGTGTGAAATACTCTAGTAATCAACCTGTATTGGTTAAACGCACAGAAACTTAGTTTTCAGAAAGTGATCAGTTGTATTTATTTGTAATGAATATTACTTTGAAATCTTCAACAAGCTCATTAGAATAAATGTGCATCAATCCCCGTAATACAGTTCATTTTAGTTTGTTAAAACGGAGTTTTATCGATATTACTAAAGTAATATTATTGGTTCTTGTAAGCATAAAGACGTGACTGATATGAGTTTATCTATCATGAACCAATGTCTCGATATCAAAACGTATTGCTTAAAGTTTATGTTTACTGTTATAAATGTTTTATCTTTATTTTAGATGATTATCAAACACTGGATTATTTGGGTTTAGTCAGTCCTACAATATTAAATAAACAGTCAGTTTATCATAAAAATCTTGGATTAGTAACATATAGTCCACATATTATGAATATGCCTAAATTAATATCATTACCATCTGGAGGATTAACAACATTTAATCATCAAAATGCAATACATAATCAAAATAAACAATTATTTACATCAATTCATTATAATCCTAGCTTGGATAATTCATCATATCAGATCACTCATTTTCATACTCAATCACAACCACAACCAATGAGTAATAGATATACAACATTACCAACATTTTCAAATAATAATCAAACAATTTGTGATTTAAATTCAACATTTATTCCTACTTGTAATCAACATCCTAACAACGTGACTAATACTAATAAAACTACTAACAATAAAAATAGTAACATAATGTTACCTTACCTAGTGATGAGTACAAGTAACATGAATTTAAATAATATACATTATCCTAGTAAAACTGGTAAATATCCAACACAGTCACATACATATTATGATATTAGACAATCTGATTTTAAGCCTAATCTACCAGTGATGTATAAATCAAAATCTCAACAATTATCAACTGCTATTAAATATCATATACCAAATAATAATAATAAAATTAAAGATGATGGTTTTATGGAATCTTTAAAGATTTGGAAAAATGAAAAACATTTCTCTCATACAACAGAAAATATTGATGAAACTAGTATCAATAATATTAATAATAACTCTGTTGTAAGAACAGATTTTACAAGTTCGTGGAATGAAACAGGTATTTGGACACCTGAAGAATCAAATACACCGTTAGAGAAATGGATAAAATTATCGGAGCAGAACACTCAAAATCATAATAACAACTCTTTTAATATCACTGTTCCATCCACTATGAAGAGTAACAATACCATTACTGCTACTAGTAATACAATCATCGATATCACAAATTCTGCTGATAAAAACGTTAAAAATAATACCGATATGGTATGTGAAAATCATTTTCCCCATATAGAAAGGCAACCAAAACTGGCTGATTCTGGAAAATATATGTCAGCAGCTTTACGAGAATCTAGTTTTGTATAAAACTCTATTTTTCTCCTACATAAATTAACATGAATTAAATCTATATACAAATGTTCAATTATAAATTGTATTAAACCTTAAAGAAGAAGGGAATGACGAACTAACTGTGTTTCTTTTCTTACAAAATAATCAATTATCTGTTAATATCTTAAATATTGTAAACTTTGTGGATGATAATCTTTCAAATGAACACAAAACAATGTGCAGTTTTGATTGTTGTTATTGGTTTTTCTTTATGTTTATGATTAATATATCTGGTTATTGTAAATAATAAATGATGTTTATATACAACATTTTAGTGACCATTTTTCAAGCAAAGATGGATAGGAATCGAGGACGTGTGCTTCGTCCTATTTGGGACTCATCAGTTGGACGCACCTGCATCCCAAAGTTGATGTTCACTCCTGGACTCGGACCCAAAACCGTTCGCTTCAAATGCCATCGCGTTATCTACTTAGCTACTGAGTCCTAATAGCCACTTGCTTGTGCAATTGGGTGAAGTTTAAATTTTCATAAGGTATTTCGATAATGCAGTGAGAAGACGAAATTTATCAGGATTATGTGATTGATAGAAGTTTATCAAATGGACTGATCATTTGATATTGTTTACTTGAATCTTCCCATTGAGGTTTAAGACTGCAATTGATCAGTCTGTTGTTGGCATATGTGCATACTCTGCATATTGCCTCGATATTGCTTTAGTTCACAAACATTATAAACAAAGATAGATGGTGGTTAGAAGTGGAATCCAGGGCCGGTGTTTCGTCCTATTTGAAAAGATTCAAGCATAACAATACCAAGTGAGTTTAAGTTCACCCTATTGCAAAAGTAAGTGACTATCTGGACTCAGTAGCTAAGTAGACAACGCGATGGCATTTGAAGCGAAAGGTATTGGGTTCGAGTTCCAGAGTGAACATAAATTCTGAGATGCAGGTACATCCAGCTGACGATTCCCAAATAGGACAAAACGCGAATCGTGGATTCCACTGCTAGTCAGTATCCATTTTTGTTTATAGAGCTTGTGAATTGAGGTAATACCAGGGCAGTACGCAGAGTATGCAAATATGTCAATAAGAGACTGATCAATTGCAGTCTAAAACTTCAATGGGAAAATTCAAGCAAAACAATACCAAGTGAACAAAGCATTATGACTTACGAAAGAAGCCACCAATATACTTTAAATGTAAAATTCAAATCAACAGACATCTAAAAGAAGAAATCATCATCTTGTCTCATTATTTAATGGTATTTCATTTAAAAATTATTGGATATAATGAATGGATCCATACATTGTTAACAGCTTAACATTAGTTTGAAAGATGATGAATTATAAATGGATTCGGTGGAAATTTCTATTTTCATAGTTATTAAGATTCTACATTGTAGTTCTCAGGAAATAAATTTAGAATATTAGGTATCTAAATTTACTCATTTAAGTTTTACAAATGTTATGCATAGAAAGTTATTGAAATACTTTAATGTTCATTCACAGTCTCTTTCGTAGTTAAAATTTATAACCGTTTTACATGAATATCAATGTTGCATAGAATATTTGATTTAACATTAAATCATTTATGGATAACCTATTTAACTGACATTGAAAATCTTTTGATTTTTCAAAGTTACTCTCGATGTTTGACTGAAATTATCTTTAAGTCAAATGTCATTATTTCATGTAATCAAGAATATTTTTGATAAGAGATTCCCCTTTCAATACTGTGAATATAATTATTACCAGAAGGGTTTTTCTTTGTGGACATTATAATAATTTAACAGTTGATTTTATGAGTCAGTTGAAGCTAGATCACCATGAAAAACTTGAAAGCACTGAGCGGGCGTTTCGTCCCACTGTGGGGCTCCTCAGCAATACGCATCCACGATTATTACCTAACGTTCCATAATTAATATAAGATGTTAAGAAGAAAACGTTTTCATTCACTTATAAATGAGTTAACTGTTTATTTCACTTATTTTTAAGATATTTATTAACTCGAAACAATATTCTCACTTTTTATTTCATTGTCATTTTCGACTTAACTTCTTTCGGTGGAAACATTATTTTCAACTATAACTTGATACTAGTTGAACCAATTTGATAAAATAAAAAATAATGGTATGGGGATTTGTGGAGATTATAATATTTTCATAGTCGAATTCAGGAGTCAATTTACGCTAGGCCACCATTGGAAACCTAGAAGAACTGGACAGCCATTTAGTCCTAGTATGGGACTCCTCACTCATATTAAGCATCCGCACGCGAGACCTAAGGCCTTGGGTTCGAGTCTCGCTATAAGGACTGTAAATGCCCACTGCAGAAAAGTCTTATACTACGGCAAGACGACCATCCAGTGTTTCCGGGTTTCCAATGGTGGTCTAGCCTAGATCGGCTCGTGAATGCAACTGTAAAAAATAAATATTTAGATCTGGTACATGAATAAATCATTCACGTTAGATAATATAACACCTTTATGAAGTAGATTAGATTATTTATCCTAATGACTGTTCCAAAAGTACATGAAGGAATATGAAGTTAGTCAAAATTTAATTTCCTTCTATTAAACCTATTTAGTTCTAGTTATGCAATCGGTTATTTGAGAAAGTAAAGTAGATGGTGATGTATGTATGTAGATGTATGCTAAGATGAGTTCAACGACACTAATTACTAAACAAAAAGTAAAAATCTTGTCTTAGATTTGTTGATATTTTTCATTTTAGAAATTATTAAAAATTCATTATTTACTGTGTCTCACGTTAAGTTTGATTGCTGTGCTACTTTTATATCTGTTCTGTAAGAAGTTAATTATTGATGTGTTAGTGTTCTCTACAGTAATATAAAGCTTGATAAACTTATACTTTCAGATTGAAATACGTTATCTTTTAAAGCAGTCCTAACACATCTGTTAATAGCAGCTCATATGCCAACGGAAAATCCAGTAAGTCTTAAAATAACAGATAAAGTTTTGGATGAGTTCATACAATTAGTAATGGACACACGAATCTGTACCAAGTAACTGTTTTACTGTCTTGTTTATGCTTTTAAAGTTAAATACGTTACTGATTTTACCGCTAGTGAAGTTATTAAACAAACACTCCCTGGAATAATGTTACTATCTACAATGCACCTAATAAAATAGCACTTGAGTTGTTAAGGTAATCAGTGTTGAAAATAACTCATCTTCTAGATAGCTCGTGCCAGTGTATCAATCGCAGTTAAACAAACACTGATACTAACCTCGTACTAGTTCGCCCTAATTTGATAACCATTTAGTTGTTGTGCAACTGTCAAAACACTTCATAATTGAGTCTACTGAATTTAAAATACTCATATAGTTGCCGATAAAACTCAACCAAACACTTATGAAATAGGATATTTCGAACAAAAGTAATGTTACAGATACGACCACCATCGTTTCATGTTTTTTAACTAGCACCTATTTACGTGACAAACATTTCCTGCCAGCCCAAGCTCTAACTCATAATGAAAAAAAGACACGAGTATGATATAAACTTCATAGAATTCTGACCTAACTTTTGAAAACTACTGCGTGCCAAACGTAAAGATAGATCTTATGGATTTCCATATTATGTCATCCAACAGAATAATAAAGATGTTAACTCAAACATTTTGTTCTTTTTGTATAGCTGTTGGAAGTCATTTTAAGAATTTAAGAAAAGAGTACATCTAGAAAAAACTTCTAAATTTCAAATCACTGTTAACTATGTTTTTAAGGCTCCGTTAAAAAAATGGACATTCCACTAACATTTCTGACCTCTTTAATCGTAAGTGAGTATATAAGGCTCCATTAATAAAAGTGGTCGAGTCAGAAATATGCCAAGTCACCAGAACCTACAACCAATATGCATTCTGTCAAAACCAATTTTTCTGAATCAACCGAATAAATAGCACGTGATTGAAAGTAATAAAACCCTTCATAACCTTAATGTAAACAGACTAGTTGTTATATTGATGTAACTGAGAGGATAAAGGTGAGGAGGAAAATCACATAGATAACTAACAACTCTATGCAAAGTATTCTTTCACTGATCCTTAAATTAGTAAACCTATAGGCTTTCTTAAGGTATCAAAAACCTATAAATTAGATGGAACTGGATTCACTAACTTCAGATGTGGCAGACCATTATTTCTTCAAAAATTGTTTACATTTTCTAGAAATAAGCAGCTTTCTCAACTGTTGAAAAATCACATACATAAAACCACATCACAAATCTTGAGATAAAGAAGAGTTGAACAGTTTTATGCCTATAAATATTACTCCGGTTATCTCTAGAAAAATGGAGAGAATTGTGTACCGAAATTTTGAGCTACTTACCGAAAAACATCACTAATTTATCACATGGCTTTTTAAAACCCAGATCTTGTATGACTTGTCACTTTGACTTCTTTAACTTGGTCTCTACTGAGCGTAGTCTTTAACATTCAATTCACTGTTATACTTTGACATTTTGAATGATTTTGACATGTTTCACCACCAGCTTTTTATATGCAGACTCATATCCTTTTGGATCAGTGATCCCTTGCTTATATGTCTTAATTCTTTTTTGGTCACCGATACCATACACTTAAAATAAAGTCCATATCAGACATTATTCCAATCACAAGTAGTAGGTTATAAATTAGTGTCTTAGGTCTTTTACTCTTTATAGTTTACATAAACGTTATCTGCAATTGCTTTACTATGGGTAAATCTTTCCTATTTTACCGATGATACTAAATTACTGTACTCATTTTGTTCTTATGAGCTGAGCCACATACGAAACTGTATCAGTATGGAACACAGTAAGGTTTCCGTATAGTTTTCAAAATAATATCTAGAACTCATCACTGCTAAATGTGAATGGATTTACTTTGATGAATCTTTTCCCAATTACACCTTCACCACAGATAGTTAGGTGTACTCGTCTGACTTATTTTAATGTACAGAGTAACCATCCGATAACTTTTAGAATACCGTAGCTAATTCGGAGTAGTGTTCATATTGAGGATAAACTTAGATTGGAAGCTATTTAGCATATTTTAATATTTCGTATTCTTAGAAGTGATTGTACTTCAAACTACAAATATAGACATCTTAAGTCAAGATTCCAATTTTTTATGAAATCAGAGACTCAAAATGAATCTAATTATCCTCAATTTACTAAACTATCATTACACGCATTAAGACAACCTGATAAACGGAATCACCAAATAGTAGCACTCGTAACTCTTTATCAAAATGGAATTGTCAGGATTTCCATCTACTCTTACTATGAATTACTTTACATGTAGATTTTCAA